ATTTTTAAAATATTTTTTGGTAGATAGAAATTTTAAGTAGGGGGAGGGTATAGCTCAGTGGCAGGTGCACGAGGTCCTCGATTCAATCCCCAGCACTGCCATCAAAAAAATAAATAAGTAAACTTTATTAAAAAAAAAAGAAATTTATAAGTAAAAACTTATAAAACTAGTAGGAGGCTGAAGAGAGCTAAGAATTTATCAAGACTGACAAATGCTACGACTGATCAACTAGAAGCCACAGAAACTCTGACAAAGGTGAAGTTGGGGTTTAAGTTAAAACACTGTCTGAAGGGCCCTAAAGACCAAAGAAATAGCAAAACAAGAAGTTGTAAGACTAGGGGAAAAATACACTTATGCAATCATTCAAATACTCGTTATGTGTTCAGCACTATGTTAGCAGTTTGGGGGAACAAAAATTACAAAACAAAGAGCTCACAATGTTGTCAGAGAAACAAAACACTAGCATTCTACGTCGTGCATCATCTAAATAACGATCCAAATGAAACACACAGGAATGAAGGCAAGGGATGGATGGATATGCGCACCAGTGGCTGTGAAGGCTTCACGGCCAAGCACGAGCCTGAGCTGGGCCCCAAGAAGCAGAATCTTAACAGGCAGACGCTGAGAAGAGCACGAGCACAGCCGGAGCACGAGAGAGTGCGGCAGCCCAGCGCTCCGCGAGGGGAGGAGACTGCGACTCACATGGAGGAGACCGCCTGTCAGTCATGCTGGGGTGAGTTTTAACTGCTATTCTTATACGATTTAGTCATGAAATGCTTACGAATACAAGCAACATATTTCAACATTTAACCTGGGGCGTGACTTGAAATGTATTTTCATGAAAAAAGCTGTTTTAGAATTAGAGGAGTCAGAACTAGAGGAATAGAGAGTAATTTCAGCGGTGATGATGTAGACATGAGGCTCTCAAAGTGGTCCATAGACCCTGTGGGGGGTCCCTGAGACCCTTTCAGAGGATCTGTGAGGTTGAAATTATTTTCGTAATACTACTAAGATGTTATTTTCCTATTTCACTGTGTTGTCACTGCGTTGTCACTGTGCTGACATTTGCATTGATGGCACAAAACAACAGTGAATAAAACTGCTGGTGTCAAGCTGTGGAACCAAAGCACACTAGTAGCACTGCATTCTTCAAAAAAAAAAACAAAAAACCCAAACCCAAAACAACTTTAGTGAGGTATAACTGATGTACAATAAATACCATATATTTAAAGTGTACAATTTGATGAATTTTTACATATGTACACACCTGAGAACCCATCACTACGATCAAGATGACAAACATTTTGATCATGTCCAAAAGTTTCCCCATGACCCTTTGTAACCTCTCTCTACCCTCCTCATTCTCAGACAACCACCAATCTATTTTCTGTCACTACAAATTTGCAAGTTCTACAATTTTATGTAAGTGTAATCAAATAGCAAGTACTCCTTTTTCATGCTAACCAAAGACAAACTAAACTAAGTGAACTTCAGACAAAGCAGACACCAGAACAATTCAGGAAAAAAGGGATCATCTCATGTTGATAAAATGTCAATCCATTAAGAGGACATGATGATCCTAAATGTACATGAACCCAAACTGTTACTAGTTTCAAAATACACAAAACAAAAACTGGCCAACCTAAAGTGCAAAAGAATCAAATATACAATTATAGTTGAGAAATTTCAATACCTATCTCTATATAATGGATAGAACAAGTGTACAGAAAATCAGTAGGATACAGGAGATGAACAATCATCTTGACTTAAGTGACATAAAATACAGCAACAACAGAATACACATTATTTTCAAAGGTACCTGAGAGATTTATCAAGCTTGACTATATTCTGGGCCATAAAACAATAAATTTAAAAGGACAAAAATCATACAAAGTATGTTTTTCAACCACAAAAGAATTAAATTAGAAATCAGTAACAGAAAGATAGCTGGAAAATCCCCCAGTATTTACAAACTAAACATTACACTTGTAAATAATCCGTAAGTCAAAGAACAAATCACAAGGGAAATTAGAAAATATTCTGAACAGAATAAAAATAATCTTGGAAATCTGTATCTTGAAACACATGAGCTTGAAAGCTTCCTAAAACTTAAAAGACCTTGCTGATGAGAATGATAATGATACTAACAATTGTCACTTTTTAAAAAAACGAAGTATACAAAAATGTGTCAACATTTGGAAGATTTATGTAACTTAGTAAACCAATATTTTTCCAAATGGTCAATGAAAGTCATTCCAAAAGGTCCATTCCATGCAAAAGGAACCAATGAGTTGTATCATAAGAGTATGAAGAGTTTATTAATTATAGGTTCAGATTCTATACTGCAACAAACAAACCTTTAAGAGACTATTTGTTGGTGGTAGAAACTACTTAAATTTGGTAGAGTATAAAAAAAAATCCAGTTACTTAAAAAGGTTGCCAAATGCTCCACTGTTTTTCAGCTAGCTGCACATTGTGTGAAGCAAGATGTTCTTCATATACTTCAAACCAACAAATTGCAACAGATTGAAGCAGACAGAAGAAACCAGCTGTCTTCTATTAAGCCAGACATTGAAGAGATAAGAATGTAAAACAATGTTACTACTCTCACAACATTGAAAAAAAGTTGAATATAATTATTTTCCAAAAAGTCATTTATGTTCACAATGAGTTTCTTTTCTTTTTAATATATTAAATATTTTAAAATATTCTCAGTTTTCATGTTTAACTACCCACCATTTTATGACAGATGGAAGAAAGCTTGAAACAGTAAGTAGTAAGACAGCGACTGAATGAATTATAGTGGTAAAAATAAAACAACTTAGGTACCTTGATGTAAGAAGACGTGGTGCTCAGACAATTTTGAGATAAAAAAATGATATAATCTTAATGAACTTGGTTGTTCGTAACAGCTGTGCCTATTCTAATCCAGAGAATTAATCACCATGATGTGAACTGACAGAAAACTTATTCAACAAAAAATATCAGATTTTAGAAGGGCTCAATTAGAATTCCTGCACATTACCAAAAGGCTGCCTTTTATATCCACACTTAATGAATAGGACACATGTCTGCACAGTGCTGTCATGCCTGGGCTGAGACAGAACAACTGTTGGGGTTGGGTTAGAGATTCATCCAAGGCAGAGTGAGCAGATTCAGCACAGATGGGAAGTCCTTCATCCTAGCTGTGGGGTCCTCATGGAGCAGAATGTATCCAGACCCTCTGCAGGCACACAGCTTAGCAGTGTTACAGCTTAGGGGGAAGACTGCTTAGGTTACTTTTTTCTTAGTTGTATAATTTCAGAAAAGGTTTACTTAACCTCTTTGTGCCTCACTTTTCTTAAACTAGGGATAATCATTAAGTCATTGTGAGGATTATAAAGGTAAAGCACTTAGAGACGCACCATGTATAAGTAGTTGATAAATATTACTATTAACAATGTTTCACCTAAAACATGGAGTGAAAAAGCACTAATCTAATCTACAGGGTGGGTTGGGGTATGAGAAATATAATAAAATACTCTATGAGTAAACTATGATATCTAAAAGGTTCAGGGTTAAAGATTCATAAAGTAATCACAATTAAGATTATTTAAAAATTCCCTCAAAATTATCATTTCCTCAAAATTATCATTTAAAGATGAATAAACAGTAGGTTTGGTATAGATTTTGGATTCAAAAAGCATCTACTGCATATTTTCAGAACAAGGGCATTTCTTTCATGGTTGTGAAGAAAAAAGTATCCTCAAGTAACAATTATGAGACAAGTGATGTTTTTCCTTTTTTTAACAAAAAGCAAAATATAAGTAAACATTACAAATATTTTAATAAAGGGGGGTAGGTATAGCTCAATGGTATAATGCATGCTTAGCACGCACCAGATCCTGGGTTCAACCCAAGTACCTCCATTAAACAAAAAAAAATTAATAAAGTCAAGTCACAAAGTATGGACAGCTGTATCATGAAAACTCTGAAAATACCAGCATCTAAACCTTGACTCAAAGTGAAAAAGAAAAATAGAAGCTGAACAGAAAATGACTCAAGAGTCCAATGACTATCAGCCTGTGTGAGAGCCAAGTCCACAGTGAGGGTGGCGGTGCCCAGCGGGAGAGGGGTGGGGGGATCAGCCTGCTGTAATGGCAAAGTGCTTTTCTCCACAGAGGGTCAGAGGCAGGATGAAGGACCCTGCAGCCCTGACCTGATTGTGGGCAAGGCAGAGCCATTCAAACGGCTTCCTGGGACTACTTCCATTCCCGGCCCATGCCTAAGACACACGGAAACCAGAGCAGGGAGTTTGCAAAATCACCCCACAAAATGAAGCGGCAGTTTGAGGTAGGAAACACTTTGAAAAGAGGATATGGTAGCCTGCAAACTGCTGTCAGTTACGTTAAGACTTGGCGAAGAACTTCCGTGTTCTTCCGCAAGCACCCCCCTACTCCCGCAGGACTGCTACAGTCAAATACTGGGAGCCCAGCACTCTCTGCCCCGGGGGCATGAACCTGTACTGAACCCCCCAGAGCAGGGAGAGGCGGCAGCAGCAGCCGGGAAGGCTTCTAGGAATCTAGGAACTTTTTCATGAAGTCAGCTTTGTACCTCCGTCTGCCTCACGGACAGAAAAAGAGCTCAGATTTAGGTCAGGAGGAAATGAAGTTGTACACACAACCTATGTGTCTGATATACTCCAGATCAGCTCAGGTGCCGTTGAAAGGCAAAGGAGAGAGTGTGTAGGAAGTTTGGTGAGTAGGAAATAATGAGAAGGCTGCTTATCCTTGTGAGCTGAACATTGCACTTTCTAGAGTAAACCTTTGGGCTTGAGTGGAAAGGATACTCAAGACTCAGGGTGACTACAGTTTTTCTTCTTTCTTCCTTTTTTTTTTTTTTTTGGTGACTACTTCTAAGAGGAAAAGACAGTGAGGAAAAAGGTACTAGGGAGATTCTAATTTGTGATCTTTTCTTAAGAACAAGTTATTACCATGATTAAAAGGAAGGTATTGACTTACCTGGAAAACATCTGTCTTGTCTTCAAATAGATTGATAAAATACTTATAGTCAGCATAAGCCCAGAATTTGGAATGATCATAGTCTCTAAATGGTCCAGAAATACTAGACTGGTCACAGTTCCAGGTCAGAAACTCTTCAAGTGTTGCTTCTACATAACTACATGTGGTTTCAAACTGAGGAACTGCAATGTAAGAGAACCCAGCTTTAAATGTATACTGAACATAGTTTCCAAGTATCATTTTTTAAATGAAGATAATTTCAACCAGTAAATGTTAACTATTACTTAGCACTAATTAGAAATTAATTATGTACTTGCTAGATAATTAGAACCATTTACAACATAATACTCAAGATTAAATACAAAAATAAAAAACACAGTTTTAACCTTAAGATTAAAAACTACCCTTACTATAGCCTGATGCAATAATCCAGTGGAACACTTTAGTTTATAAATTCTCTAAGACTTTTTCAGGGGTCTGTGATGTCTCAACTATTTCATAATAATACTATGCAGTATTTGCCTTTTTCATGCTATTCTCTCACAAGAGTACAGTGGAGTTTTCCAGAGGGTACATGACATGTGTTGATGTCACTGCTCTGACGGCTAATGGAATATGTGCTTATGTTCTCATATTTTTAAATGTCTGTAACAAAGAACAACAAAGAGTGTTGCTCACCAACCATTTCTACAAGGCTTAAATTGTAACCCACTGCAGTCACTGCATTTTGAGAGGAAATTAAGAAAACAGAGGATGAAGCACTCTGCCTCAGAGAGAAAATTTTTTTTAACTTTTTTTATTGATTTATAATCATTTTACAATGTTTCAGAGAGAAGAAATTAAGATGATAACAGGATGCTCTGTGCTTTGGACAAACAGGCCTCTTAGACAGTTAGATGTATATCTCTGGAAGAATGTCAGCGACCCCAGATTCTTGTATCTTTCCAAAGAAAAGCACAAAAATCAGTAACTCGAGGTATCTGTTATTTGTGACTAGCAGTAATCTTTTACCAAGATGTATGCTTTACTGCACATATTTCCTAGCCAGAAATCGCATATACACTGGCTTCTTCCTTACCCTTTGGGAGCAGTTATCTCAGAGCTCCTAAGAGGTTGTCTCCTGGGCTATAGTCCTCATTAAGACCCCGAATAAAACTTAAACTCACTGCTCTCATGCTGAGCGCTTTTCTTTAAGTAGACATGTCCCAGTTTTAGTTTCTAACATTGGCTAGCACCACTAGATATAACCCACGTCGACAAAAGCTCATTGAGGTACTCAATCGTTTTTAAGTGTAAAAGAATCCTGAGACCAAAATGTTTGAGAGCCACTTCTTCAAATTTAAAAAAAAAGCGACAACAAAAATCTGTCTTTTGAAAATTTCAATTTTGTACTGCACATTTTTATACAAAGCTCCTCAGAATCATTAAGTGGATGATGGCAATTTAAAGTCTGTTCATTTATTCACTAATTCATTTATTTCAAAATCATTTATTAAGTACCTAATTTGTAACTAACGTGCTCAGGCTTGTGAAAACATAAAAGAAATAGATAATACTCTTGAATTTAGAATATATTTAGACAAAGATAAAGCTTTTAATCAGAATAGCAGGGAATTTGAGGCATTATATAACCAGATGCAAATTTTTGTGTCACAGACACACAGGAAAAGGCAAAGACCACCAGAGATGAGGGTTGATTAAGAAAGATGGAGAAGAGTCTGCTGTCTGTCCATAGTGGTTTGTTATGTGTTATTATGGGTATGACTCATTTATACAAGAACAATTCTTCTAGTGATGAAATGAAGTTTTTTAACTAAAAAAAAAAATTGGGGGGGTGGAGGAGGTTATTAGGTTTACCTATTTATTTTTAGAGGAGGTATTGGGGATTGAACCCGGACTTTGTGTATGCTATGCATGTGCTCTACCACTTGAGCTATACCCTCCTCCAAAATGAACTTTTTCCTTTGCATTTAGCAGAATACTGTAAATGCACATTGGGATGTTAATATTCAAGAAATCTGATTACGATCTCTTTTGTAAAGCATGAAATCAAGAGTAGATATAGTGCAGCGTTGGTGGTATAGTGGTGAGCATAGCTGCCTTCCAAGAGTAGATATAGGTCTAACACATGTAAGTCAGCACATGACACAAGCAGATGCTCAGAACTATTTATTGGTAGTACTTGTTATTCGCTCTTATATTTACCTGAGGCACTTTAAAAGTTAGCTGAATTAGTAGCACGAGGAGCTGGGTATTCAAACTCTTCCTTCGATAGCTTTTATATTTTCCTTTCATTTCTGCCTGAACTGTTTAGGATTATCCCAATCACCTTTCCCTCTCCTCTATTCTAAAACCTCAGAAAGGCAGAGAAGTAAGAGAGGGGAGAGTGTGTGTCACCCTTAATTCATCTACTTCATCAACTTGTCACTTGACTTTGAGAAGTAGGAAAACTTTATTAGGGTACATTTATCTAAAAGATTAAAATCTGCGTATTTAAGAACTATTAAAATTTGGTAATTTTTGAGAAGCATTTAGAACAATGGCTGGCACATAGTACCCCATCAATATCCATAAGTTCTTAATATCATCATCATCAAGAATTTACCAAAACAGCATAGGGATACGTATTTTCTTAACAAAACAAAAACCCATTTAGCAAGAAAGATGCATGGTGCTGGGAAATATGAGTCATTTCCAAATCATTTCAGTAAGCTGCAGTGTGGAGCCTGGAGACATTCCACTGTCTTATGAGCTTTCACTTCATAGAAGTCAACTGATCTAACATAATACTAAGCCATTACTTGAGCCACCTGCCCCTGGGGTGAACTGAATAGGAACTTTCAGTTAAGGCCAGTTTTCACAGGCATGTCTCCATTGTAGCTCATCAGAAGGCTTCATTTTCTGTCACAGCAAGTTCTGTACTTTAAAAAATGAAAATCTAAAAATGCAAAAAACTATACGTGAGAAATGTTACTGTCATGGGAAAATTACAATGAACGGGATGAATGAAAATGACAGACTTTTTCATTTACACAGTGATTTCAAAATAGAATCTTTTCACTCCTTCCTGGTAATAGCAGCACCAAAGGCACAGTTTTCATTCTGTTATCATGACAGTTTCGTCCTTGGTAGCATACTTGTTTTTCTTAGCTTACTCTATGCAATGGGATTGTTCCTTTCTGACTTGATTATTATTGTTCTTCCATTTAACACCGAAGTAGCCTAGGCAGCTGCAACTTTCACCCTGCTTACTGTCAAAGCGTTAGGTAAGAAGAAGCTCAACTGAGTTCAGCATTTGGAAACTGGATAAACTGAATTTGTTGTTATCTCTTTTAAGAAGGAGTCCTAAAATATTTTTTTCACAGCAGAGAAACAAATATTTCTCCATTTTCTTAGAATTCATCATTTCATAAGCAAGAAACACTGCATAGAATTTGGGTACTGAGTATGACTTTTGATGGTCACTCCACTCCCTATCTACAAATGTTTAGGTTTATTTCTACATCTGTTTGCCAAATTACTGCCAGCTGAGTTAACAGTGTTGTCACTGAGAACATATGCTGGCAAATGAATTTGATCCAAAATGGTTTCAAAGAGCTATGTGATGTCATTATCTGCTTCCTAAAATAAACTAAGAGATACATTACCGTCAAATACACCAGTTATTAATACTGTTATTTCAGGCATTCTAGAAAAATTCCAACCAAGACTAAAAACAGAAATAAGAAATATGCTCCACAGAAAAGAAACAAAGTTATCATTGTTTATAAGATCATATGCTGTCCTCCTAAAACACCCACAAGAATAAACTAAAAAACTAGCCTCTTAAGTGGCTAGATAAAAAATAAACTTACAAAAAATAAATGGCTTTGATTTATGTACCAACCACAGTTAGAAAAATATAATAGGCAACAATATTTCCTTCATAACAGCTATAAAAATTTATAGTATTTTAGGAATTTATAGACTTACATGAAAATCTTTTTACTGAGATAAAACAAATTTGATAAGTGAAGATTACATGTTTTTGTGTAAGGAGATACAGTATTGTTACAAGGTAGATTCTTTCCAAATTACATAATTTATGGCACTGAATGAATTTTCATTTAAAATCCTGTTGATTAAAAAAAAAAGGTACAACCTAAAAGTTATGAGTTATGTTTCATTCAGGGATCTTACTGAGGAGTTTAGCCTGGGAGGCAGCCTCTCAGATTGCTCTGAGGCGACTGCTCCAAAGAGGTAAGGGAGGAATATATGTCCTGAGTTTTTGCTGGGAATAAAACAAAACCATGTACTCAAATGTCGAAAGATTACTGCTAATTACAAAACGAAAACAACAACAGTAGCAACAAAAAAACCCCAGACATCTCAAGTTAATGATGTTAGTGCTTTTCTATGATTGGGAAGATGCAAGAGTCTGGGCTCACTGAAATTTTTCCTTTGATATGCATCTTAACTGTCTAGGGCCAGGATCTTGTTTTTCTGCATTCTAAATTCTCCTCAGGGCACACTGTGGAGCTTTCCAAGTCAGTAGGGGGAAAAAAGGATTACTCACTAAATGGTACTGCAATAAAGATGTTACTTCTAACTTAATTATTTGGGAAAAAGTCAGTGAACACTTTTACCAAAATAAATACAGAATAGATAAAGAGTAAAATGTAAAAAAAAAAATCATTAAGCTATTGGAAGAAAATATTAGAACTTTTTTTATTGTCAAGATACAGAAGAAATTCCTAAATAAAATAAATAAGAATAAAAATACTGATGAAACATTATTTGATTTTGCTATACAAAAGTATACAAACATGAAGCAAAATCAAAAGGCAAACAAAAAACTGGGAAACATATTAGTAACAAATACAGTATTCTTAATAGATAAAGAATTTATTTATTAAAAAAACCCCTCCAAAACCTGAAACCCTAATAAGGATAAGTGGAAGAACAATTACCAAACAAAAATACAATGATTAATAAACATTAACATACATTTAACATCACCAGTAAAGAAATGTTAAAGTCATGAGACACCCATCTTTCAGCTATCGGTAAGATTTCTTCCAAACATAAATTTCAGTTTGGGCAAAAGAGTAACCAAACAGGCACCCTTGCGTGTTCTGAAAGCAGAATAAATATAACCCACCCTTCTGCAAAGCATCTGGCCTTATGTATCAAAGGTCTTTCATTCTTTCACTCCACAGGCATCTGACTATCCATTAAGGTGCTCAGCCAATGATGAGACATGGATCTCTCCAGGGGAAGAGAGACTTTAAACTGCTAACCACGTGATTATAACTGTGCTAAGTGTTACTAAGAAATACAAGGTGTTCTAAGATAACTTAATAATCATGCCTGATTTAGGGGGTAGGGCAGAGAGATGTGGTCAGGAAAGACTTCCATGAGAAAACGACATTTGAGCTAAAATCTGAAGGAAGCAGAGGGATTAACTAGGTAAGGCTGCGGTAGGGAGAAATGGGAAAAGAGAGATGAATGTCTAGACTGCATATGCAAAGGCCCTGAAGTAAGAAGAAGCAAACCTCTCAAAATACAGAAACTGAAAAAAATGCTTGTTTGGCCTGAGCCCAGAAAGAGGAATTGAGCAGAGGAGGCAAATAGCTTTCTGCACCATGACAAAAATTCTGGTCTTTAGCCTAAGGGTAATAGGAAGCCATTTAAGAGTTTTAAACAGAGAAATAAGGCGGGATTTGTTTTTGGTTTTTTTGTTTTGTTTTGTTTTTTTAACCTGTCTCTGGTTTCAGTATAAAGAATGGCTGAGGTGGGAGGGCAGGGGTGTAGAAGGACTAGGGATAAGGTTACTGCAACTACGGAGGTGAGAGAGAGCAGGGTAATCCCCACTAGAGGACGGCGGTGGAGAGAGAGAAGCAGAGGGCGTAAGGCACCCAGTCACCAGACACCACTTAGAGAGGCCATCAGAATGACTCAGAGGTTTCTGGTTTAAGAAGCTTTGTGAATAGTGCTACTACTGGTGATAATGTTCATACCCTTTGACCTAGGCGTTCTCCTAGGAACCTATCCCAGGGAAACAGCCAGAAACTTGGACAAGATTCCTGTTCAAACATGTTCACCCTTCAGTCTTACTTATAAATTTAAAACTCCTAAGAAATCTAAATAATCAACACAGAATTTTAAAAATAAATTATGAAATTACCATACAATGGAATATTAGGTTGCCATTTAAAAGTCACATTTAATGTCAAGAGAAACTGCTCAGAATATATAAAGTTAAAAAAAAATCAGGCTGTGAAAATTAGTACCACTTCATTTTCAAAATACAAAAAGGTCCATATGGACATGTATCAAAATGTAAATAGTGATTACCTCTTAGTAATAGAACTGTTTTAAAATTTCTTTAGATCTTCCCATTTTTTCAATGTTCTCTAAAATGAGGAAGTTATATTTTTATTTTAAAATTATTTCCACTTCTAAATAACACTTGTTGAGATTTATCATGTGCTAGGCACTATTCTAACTGTTTAATGCATAGGAACACACACAATCTTGAAAATGTTTTTAAGATACAGAAAAGTTATCAAAGTTACAGCACAAGCCAGAATCTGAACCCATGTAAGCTGATTTCAGAGTCAGCTCTCATACCACTACCTTATACCGCTTGTACAAGTACTACCTTTATACTCATAGAAGTAACTTGAAAAAGAGCAAATTATTAAGACTACCCACATAATGGGAGAAAATATTTGCACATCATAGATCTGCTAAGTTATTTCCAGAATATATGAGATCTTTTACCTCTTAGTAATAAAACAAAAACAAAAACAAAACATGTGTTTTAAAAAAAGCTCAATTAAAAAATAATCAAAGGCTCTGAACAGACATTTCTCCAAATTAGATACACAAATGGTCGGTAAGTCCATAAAAAGATGCTTGACATCATTAGTCACTAGGGAAATGCATATCAAAACTGTAATGAGATAACACTTCACACCCACCAGGGTGGCTAGAATAAAAATTGGAATAAACATTGGCAAGGATGTAGAGAAAGCAGAACCCTTATACACTGGGATGGGAATGTAAAATGGTCTAGCTTTTTTGGATTTTTGGAAAACAGGTTGGCAGTTCCTCAAAAGCTTAAAGAGAGTTGCCATATGACTCAACAATTCCATTTCTAGGTTTAACCCAAGAGAAATGAAAACATATGTCCACATAAAAACTTGTACACAAGTGTTCACAGTAGCATTATTCATAATAGCTCCAAAGTGGAAATAACCCAAATGTCCATCCACTGCTGAATGGATAAACAGTTTGTTGATCTATATAATGGAATATTATTCAGCAAGAAAAAGCACAGATATATGCTACAACATGGGTTAAGTCTTGAAAACATGCTACATGAAAAAAGCTAGTCACAAGAGGCTACAACTGTAAGATTCCATTTATATGATATGTCCAGAATAGGCAAATCCATAAAAACAGAAAGTAGCTTAGTGGTTGCCAGGGGCTGGGAGTAAGGCAGAATGGAGAGTGACTTCCTAAGGAGAACTGGGCTTCCTTACTGGGTGATAAAATGTTCTGGAATTAGATGGTGGTGTTGGTTGCACAATATGGTGAATATGCTAAAATCACTGAATTGTATACTTTAAAGTGGTGAATTTTATGTGATATGAATTTTGTCTGAATTTTTAAAAAGAACAAATGATCTTTAGTAAAAACTCAGAGCAGCTGCTCACAACCACAGAGACTTTTTACTTCCTTTCTCTTTTATGCTGGAGTATTAACTTTAAAATGTCAAATTACTGTACTTCCTCTATAAAACAGGGTCTTAGCAATACCATTCTAAACAGGTTTGAAGAAGACTGAGAGTTAATATGTATAAAGCATAATAGCTCTTGGTAGCTCTCAACAGCTATTAGTAGTAGTAATGTATTTGTAGTCTAACCAGGAGGTGAAAACAATTAAAATTTCCATTTCTCTCCAAATTATTGTTTAAGACACTTCAATGAGTGGACGATTTACTTGACTAAGATTAAGAAGAAAAAAGCACAAGCTGATTGTTACGTGGCTGCTACTGGTCTAGCATTTAATTTAAAAATACAACATACATTTTGGTCTGTGAGTAGAATGAGATGCCAAAGAGTTTCAGGTCTACTAATCCTGGTCTACCTGTCACTAGAGTACAAGGTGGGGTCTAGACACCAAAAACTAAATAACTATATGAGATACACTTGAGGATCAATGTGAGATAAAGAAGTTTGGAGAAGCTGGAAGAGAAGCTGGGTAATCTTCTAGTTCCTTCTGAGTTATTAATAGATATTCATAGAGCCACTTCACAGCAATGCCTAAAACAGTAAGAATTTCTTGACTACCAAACTCACCCATATTTAAATACAAGTTGAACACATATTCTGAAGACCATTCATGACAATGGTCACAGACTCCTCTAGACTAGAAACAGCACTGTTTCTTTCCTAAAATTAACCATTTTTAGAGTTAACAGTAATTGTTTTATCTGACAGTAAAGCAAAAAATCAAACAGTTACAAGTCTTCAGGGGAAAAGAGCTGGCAAAATCTAATTGCTTAAGATGATGAAAAAAACAGCTTTACATATGTTTCACATTTATGCAGTACAGCAGAGGTCAGGCAGCTGATAAAGCAGAGAGAGAAAATTACACCAAGACTAAGTACTATAAATAGCATGCCTGAAGCCACAAATAAAAGGACACATTCTACATGAGTCAGAAGTGGAAGGGACTGTTAGATTAGTATTGGTCTTTTTCAGTCACATGGGAACATAAATAATAGCACATTAACAAATATTTGTTAAGTGTCTACCATCATCAATGAACTGTGATACATCAACAAATGCATTTTATATGAGATTATAAATCATAGGTTGTTTAGTCTAAAAAACTTTTTTAACTGTCCTTCCAAAACTTTCAGTAAAATTTTCCTATCTGTAAGTGGTCAAAAAGAGGATTAGAAGTAAAGGATTCACTAGAGATAAAGAAACCCTGGCTGAAATTATGGGAATGCTATTAAAGAGACATGATGATGTCAATTTGCAGTCCTACCTGGATCCGTGCTCTTCATTCCCATCCTGAATCGTATCTGCTTGCCATGAAGGACCTCAGAAAGATGCTTTGCAGTCCAGTTTCGTGCAGGCCAATCAAAAACCATATTACAAAAGACTGCAGGCTGTTGTAAAGACATTATAATTTCTTTTGCTTTCTCTGGTGTAAAAGGTTTGACACATTTACCTGGAGGGAGAAATAAATAAAGCAATAGATAAATAACTAAAAAGTTATTTCATATAATATGAAGAATAAATAGCTAATATCATTTCTATTACGGCAATTCTTTCTGGGTAACTGTACTGCATTTACACTTCACTTACTACTGTTACATTTGGCCTCAGAGAGCCAGAATTCTTCAATGTTTTCTCAAATATTAAAATTTAAATGTTAGAAAATATTTACAATTTTCAATGTCAAAAATGTTTCTTTAACAAGGCTTTCCAAGTAGTTAACATAAATTTTTGAAGATGTAACTTTTTGAAAATATTATGTCCTAAGTTGAGGATTATGTACGAGATGCTAATGGGAACTACTCTTGAACAGTGAGAGTTGCTGAAGTCAGCAACAATCCTACTTGATGTGTCACATGTTTATACCAAAAAGATTACAGAGTTAATGTAAGTCAATGTGGGGGCGGGGATTATTTTTATTGCCAGATTTTAAAAGATAAAAGATGTACTAGGGTGGATATAAGTGTTAATCCTTGGCTTTGACTGAGTCTATAAACAGTATAGGGGACATGTACAAACTGACACTATGACTCACTGAAGACTTCAGTAAGTTCCAGTCACAGAATGTTAATACCAGATAGGCTAGTAAAGATTAATATTTATTAAATAAAAGAACAAATAAGTTTCTCCTTGAAGATATCTTAAGATGGAAGTTTTGGGGGAAAGTTAAAAAATGCTTCATATTCTGACACTCAAAACATGTACTTACGATTTTCTACAACAATCAGCTAAACCCTCTATTTCAGTTACCTAATCTGTAATTACACTTTAAAAAATTAAGAAAAGCCCATGAATAATCCAACTTCTCCCATTATCCAACTCTCTTCTAAACTTTCTGATAAAAGGAAGAGGGATGGGGAAGGACTCAATGAAGAACTAGAGTAATTTCTATTTGTGTGAATGTAAAGCTTGTTTTTAAAGAAAATAAAATTTTAAGTCAGTTTGAACTCCTTTCTCAGACAAGGGCAAAACTCAGACTCCTCTCCTAAATCAGCAGTGAAAGCAAGCAGGCTCTAAGCCCTCAGCAACTGACATCTGAGAACAGTCTATCCCCTTCTGCAGTCAGGGCTCCCATGCGAGGAGATCAGTGTGGGTGCTTCCAGGTAAAGGACAGGTTCAAGAGCTGGGGTCTACGCGCAGTGAGGAAGACAGAAGGCACCCTCAGGTCTCTATGTAAAAGAAGCCCCAAGTTTATCTGTAAGTGACCTTTAACTGCTGAAGAGCTCTGTTAAGGAAAACAGGCTGTGACCAGGAATTTTTTTTAAAAAGTCTTAACTCATGCCAGCCTATAAATATAAGTGCAGGGTTACCTAGATTGCAATGCACCAAATCTTCCTGGACTTAGAGTGTCTAGATTCCGTGTGTATGAAAATGGACAAGCCACATTTTTTTACCATATATTTTTAAAGTTTTTCTAGACTATGAAAAGCTACAATACATTCATAATACCTGTTGTTTGTGACATACGAATTAGAACTATCCTTTGGAAAATGATGGGGAAAATGAAGTTGAAGTCTAAAAGAACCACCCATTAACCTAATAATTCATGCTGCAGGAATTTGCTTTTAACAAAATAATTCATCATAAGCCATATACATATTTGTATATATTATATACATGTATATACATATGCATACAATATCTATTATCACAATTTTTAAAAATCTGAAAATATAAACAACCTAATGTCTAAAAGTAGAAAAATAATTTACCGAATATTTCTCCCATGGTCCAGTGCCCTGGTAATTCTATTCATTAACAATATAAACAAACAAACAAACAAACAAATAAATAAATGTGGGGGCTCTGTAGAAATGTGTGGAGCTGCAGGGACTGGAACTGACTTACAGAGCTACTGCAACAGCCAATAGACACATATGATAATACTGCCCTGAACAGCAAGGGTGGCAGTGAGAAGGGTGGAGACAGCAGGGATGAGAAATACTAGAAGAATAATATCACAGACTATTATGACCAAAGAAATGTGGGGTGCGAGGCAGATGAAACTATAAGGAGGATTGAGGTTTTCAGACTTTGTGACTTGCTAGAGAGAGAAGTTAGGAGCAATAGCTCGTTCTGTTGGGAAGCTGAGGGTTTGGTTTTGAACAACATCATCATAACAACACCATATAGTTACTTGCATAAGGCTTTACAGTTTGCCACACACTTTTACATGCATTAAAAGTGATCATCTGATCCTCTAAGAAGCCTGTAAAACACAGGTAGAGAAGGTACTTTATTTCCTTTATCCAAACGAAGAAACAGAAGCTCAGATGTGAAAGGTCAAAATACCAGTGATGAACTGGACTACAGGTCAGGTTGCCTGATTCCAAGTCCAGTGCTCTTTCCACACCACATAATCCTGCCCCCAGAGAATTAAAACTACAGGACTTACACTAGTACTAAAAACTCAGGAGAGACAGTATAACCTGAAAAGACAAGTAGGTGCAGGGACACTGTAGATGGATTCTTAGATAATAAATCCATGTGTGCTGCTGGGGAGAGAAGAATCCTCTGGCCTGTGCCTATGTTTGTGTGAATGGTTGGGGGAGTAGTCAACACCTGTACTGGAGACTGCTAGCTGCCTACCTTACTCAGTCCCTGTTCCCTTCTTCCTTACTAACAGAACTTTGGGCAATGAGAGTGGCTGAAAAAATTACACTTCCTAGATTCCTTTGCAGATAGGAGTGGCCACAGACACATCTGGAAGTTGCTGAGTCAGCCTTTTTGCCCTATTCCTCTCAAATATTCTGCCTGGGAAACAAACACCATGGTTAGCCATCTTGAGACACAAAAGAAAGGTCCAGGAAATTGCAAACACTGACTGAAAGAATGCAAAGATTTCCATCTTCGTGCCACTGAACCAACACCTGAATCCTTTCACACAATAAACTAACTCTTCTAGGCAGGACTCTGACATTAGTTCATAACTGGTGTAATGACTTCTGAGGCTATCGCTTTCAGGGACAACCATATTCTCACCAGAGAGTGCTCTGTGGCTTACGCTGGATGAATCACAGCTGGTGTGACCCACTGTAACATTCTTTCAGTTCTAAGGCTGTAAAATATTCAAACTTTGAACATTTTGCTTCTAGAATTTAAAGGGCAGAGAAGAATAGAAGCACCAGTCCTTTGGGGGTGAGGATTTATCAGTTCGGCTTATCTTAAACCAGAGCCAATAGACCACATGGTTGTGAATGTTCCCCAAATTGTCCTCATATTTGGGTAAAGTACATCAAGCCACCCTTCCACAACTAAATATATGGACATTAGTGACACCTGAATAGTGTTCTGACCGAAGAGCTTCAAAGAAATAAATATTTTTTCCTCTAACATAATATTGAAATTTTTTTAAGTATTTAATGATCTGATGGAAAAATCCCAGATATCCCAGAGGTTATTTAATCGGAGACCCTAAAAACTAAAATTTGCTGAGAAAGCACCGGAACCAGTGATTGGAATATACTAAATGCTCAAACATTTGCTAAATGAATGAAAAGTGCTATAAAGCACAGGCAGAACAGATCAGGAGGATGCTCACCACAACAGGAAATTAGCATGTTTACAGAATTTCAGGCCAGCAGTGGAATAAAACAATCAGCTGGTTGTAAGATAAAACTAATTTGGTTTCTGATAGTTTAATCAACAATGAACTGGGCTATTAAATTAAGAAATTTAAGTGTTAGAATTTCCTTTAAAGAAAATGCAATCTACATTGTATTAATTAAATAGCCTAGGAGTGCACCCAATCATTCCATGCCAGGGATATGTGAAAAGAGCTATAAAAGTTCTGAAGCAACCTCAAAAGCCTTTAAAGGATAAGTGTATTTAGGTCTGAACTTGCAGCAAGCAGCAATTTCTAATTAGATGACTTAGAAACTGCTGAAAAAACAGATCAGTGATCTAGGTGTTGCACAATAATCTTTTCTCCTTCTAAATGTAGTACGTTATTCAGACAATTTATTATAGCTTTGGCTACAACTAATTCTTTGGAGATACTGAAACACCATCAAAAAGCAATTTGCCTCTTTCTCAGTTATTTTTTCTTTAATTAATGTAAAGTACAAGATAATTTGAAATTTACTTCTCTGAATTTACTAGCAATCTGGATTCAGTTAATTAATATCTGGCTTGGATCTGTATGTGATTTAGAATTCAAGACAAGAATAAGGAAAATTTAGCTAGTTTCCAGAACACTCTCCCAATATTGACAGAATACAACAACGATCCTGAAATTGACATTAACTCATTTCTTCATGTCAGGTACAATTTTAATAACTATTAATTTAAAATTTAATAGTTTTTTTTCATTTTATTTAAAAATTTTCAGAAGGTGACATAAGAGTAAGCCACAAGTTACAATACAGTGATACAGTACAAACAAAACAAATTGGGTCCGAGTATGGTGAGCTGATTTATTTCTAAACATATACATGAGGCCTATGATGCCTTCATCAATCTGAGGACTCCTGTATATACACACAAGAAATTTTATGGAGACTCATTGATCATCTGGAACAATAGGTATCAGGGTAAGAAATAATGAACATTTAGGCCATGTCAGAAAAACACTGATGGAATTCTGCAAGTACTACTTAGCAAAATGACTGTGTTCATAGTGAAGACGGAATGGTAACACTTACAGCAAAGATGATTTTTCATTTTATAGACACTATTTTAATATGTCAATGCAAACTAAGACAGCTCTCCTGAAAGTTAGTATAATGCTTAAATAAAATGATGAATTGTCATAAACTCTTTGAATTTCAAGATCTAGAAGGTGGTGCCAATGAAAAAAACATGAAGTGTTGAGGCTCATGACCGGACCTTGCCAATACCAGTGCATGGTGTGGTGGTGAACACCAGGCAGGTTCCGTCTGGGGACCAGCGACAGTTCCACACTGAACGTTTACCATCCTCTTCTTCCCATCTTCTTACCCTGATAACTCCTGC